GTCTGTCAGTGTATGTGTCTGTGTGTTTTAGTATATCTGTCAGTGTATGTGTTTGTGTGTGTGTTAGTATATCTGTTAATGTATGTGTCTGTGTATGTATGTATGTCTGTGTGTGTGTGTCAGTATGTCTGCCAGTATATATTTGTGTGTAGTGACTGTGTGTGTCAGTATGTATCTGTGAATGTTTTAATGTCTGTCTGTGTGTGTATGTGCCAGTACGTCTGTCTGTGTGTATGTCAGTATGTCTGTATGTGTGTGTCAGCATGTCTTTGTGTGTCAGTATGTCTGTGTGTGTATGTAAGTATGTCTGTGTGTGTATGTGTGTGTCAGTCAGTATGTCTGTCAGTGTATGTGTCTGTGTGTGTATGTATGTATGTCTGTGTGTGTGTGTGTGTCAGTATGTCTGCCAGGATATATTTGTATGTCAGTGTATGTGTGTGTCAGTATATATCTGTGAATGTTTTAATGTCTGTCTGTATCAGCCATTACGTCTGTCTGTGTATATGTCAGTATGCCTGTGTGTGTGTGTGTGTATGTCAGTATGCCTGTGTGTGTGTGTCATGTCAGTATGCCTGTGTGTGTGTGTCAATGTGTCTGTCAGTGTATGTGTCTGTGTGTTTTAGTATATCTGTCAGTGTATGTGTTTGTGTGTGTGTCAGTATATCTGTTAATGTATGTGTCTGTGTATGTATGTATGTCTGTGTGTGTGTCAGCATGTCTGCCAGTATATATTTGTGTGTAGTGACTGTGTGTGTCAGTATGTATCTGTGAATGTTTTAATGTCTGTCTGTGTGTGTATGTGCCAGTACGTCTGTCAGTGTGATTGCGGGTTGGGCGTAATTGGGGGGTGAGGCAGTGGCAGGGACAGGGCCCATGGGGCCCAAGAAAATGCATTGCCCAGGGTCCTAATCATATTATAGACGGCCCTGAATGATGCAATATAAAACATTGCAGTTCCAGAGAAACTGCAATTCTTATATTGCAGCACTAAGTCTGCCCTCAGTGGCTGCAGACACTTCAGTTTAGCCCGGTAACTGACGCTGGACGTCCTAATGACGTCCAGTGTCAGATTTTTTCCCATAGGAAAGTATTGATTCAGCATTGGTCTAATGCATTAGCGCCCGCTCATTGTGGGACTGAGGAGGAGGCGGAGCAGCGACCCAGCGCAGAGGGACATCGGCGCTGGGGTAAGGTAAGTAAATAAAAAAAATTTAACCCTTTAATCACATCAGTCGGAGGGGTGTGAGGGAGTGTGGAGGCAGAGGAAGCGATAGTATATATACAGGTATATATATATATAATTTTTTTAAATTATTTTATTTAGGTGCATGATACATCATGAATATGTTCACATAAGTCAGCTTCTATAACAATAGATCAACAATATTCAACGAAGGTCAAACTTAGAGAAGGTTGCACATATCTAGGTATTAAAGACATCAGGAACATAGCTCAATCATGTCAGACAGGTAAAGAATGAAGAAAGGTCTTAGTATTGAACTATAGATAGGAGCAATGGGTTCGTACCACTGGGCACTCAAAATTAACTTGAACTGCTGCTGGTGGTCAATTAGAGAACAGAAACAAGAGTTAAATAATCAAACAAAACATTGGCATTATGTACAGTGAGTTCTGTGATATAACCGCCAGGCTGCAGGAAAGCTTGTGGGCCACTCAGTCAATACACAGGGAGATTCCCAGCAGTTTGTTTATATTAATAATTATAAAACAAGCTTTAAGGACTAATAGCCTAAAAATGTACCCCTGTACAGCACTCTGAAATCTGTTGGCACTTTATAACTAAAGCTTTTAAAATATAAATTTTTTTAACTAATTCATTGAAATGAGGATTGATCCCATTGTACAGCGCTACGGAATCTGATAGCGCTATATAAATAATAAAATAATAATAATTGTGTGCCATGGGTGAATGAAAGTGTATAAGGAAAAATAAAAACCTTCATTTGGTTGCAGATAAAATCGACTTGGTCCGTCTTATAGGCCATACCCATCACACAAACAAAACACTTTTTTTTTCTTCTTAATTTAGAGTACGGATGTCCAAAAAGTAGATCCCCAGATGTTGTAGAACTACCACTGCCATTATGCTTTGTATGCCTTCAGAATGACAAAGAATAATGGAAGCTGTAGTTTTCTAACATCTGGGGATCTACCATTTGGGCACCCTTGATTTAGAGTCTCTCCAAAGCTTCAAGCCATTGTGTTAGTCTATACCACATCTGATAGAAAAGTGTCCCATCCAACTTCAACTTCCTGTATAAATTATTTTCTAACATCCCTAAATCCCCTCCTTCCAAATTCAGTTTATTTTCTTTTTTTCTGGCTCTTTGTTTCAACAAAAAAGTATCACCATTGTGATTTGTGTTAAATTCTTTGCAGCGACACAAAAAAGGTGAGATAGTTAAGTAGCTATTTTAGAATAGTTCCTTTAATTTGCAGCTTATGTTAAAGAGAATTTGCATTTGAATGCATACACCCCCTGCTCTTATCTACAAGATTTAAAAAAAAAACAATCAGACAAGGCAGAATAAAACCAGAAAGAATACAGATTGGGGGATGAAAGACTTACCTGAAATCACAAGAACTTTTTAAACACTTAAAAGTCTTAAAGGGACACTATAGGCACCAAATCAACTTTAGCTTAAAGGGAACCGGATTGTTTTCCTGACACTGCAGGTCCCCTCTCCCTCCCACCCCCCAATCCCCGGTTGCTGAAGGGGTGAAAACCCCTTCAGTAACTTACCTGAGGCAGCCACGATGTCCCACGTCGCTGCTTCTTCCTCTGCGCCGTTCCTCCTTCTGACTGCGTCGGCCGGTGGGCGACACTGATCCCGCCCAACGACCGGGGAGACCTAATGCGCAAAAAACTGCAATAATTACACTTGCAGGGTTAAGATTAGTGGGAGTTGGCACCCAGACCACTCCAATGGGCAGAAGTGGTCTGGGTGCCTGGAGTGTCCCTTTAATGAAGCATTTTGGTGTACAGATCATGCCCTGCAGTCTAACTTTTTTTTTTTTTTTTCTCTAACTTTTTAATTATCTGCCATTAAGGAGTTATATCACGTTGTTTATACAGCCATAGTCACTGCTCCCTGCATACGGCATACACAGACTTCCTAAGCACTTCCTGTAAAGAGTCATGTAATGTTTAAAGTTCCTTTAGTGCAAATTCTGATTAGTTTAGAATGTCTTATCTCCTGCTCTGTTAATGGCCTTCCAGTCCTTCTGTGTGATTAAAAGTAATTTTACAGAACAGCAAATAAAAACATATAAAGCGGATTAACATCTGAATGGAAATGAAAACATTTTTTGAGTCACAGTCAGGGACGATGTGGCTAGGACTGCATAAACAGAAACAAAAGTGATTTAACTCCTTAATGGCAGAAGCTTTAACAGTAAAACTGCAGGGGCCTGGTCTATACACCAAAACTGCTTCATAAAGGTAAATGAGATTTGGTGTCAATAGTGTCCCTTTAAGGTTTCTTAAATGGACACTCCAGAGCCTATATATATTTAATTATAACTAATTATATATATACATATATATATGTACAACAAAAATCGCTGTTTATTAGATATACCCACAATGAAAACATGCATGAATTTAATTATGCATTTTTTTCATTGGGCATATTTCTAAAAACAGCTTGCAAAAGCTACAGAGCTCTTGCCCGCTTCCTTTTTCAACAGCCCAGACTTTCTGTGGGTGCCCAACCACAGACTTCCAAATGCAGCTCAAGGAAAAGTCTTTGCAAGGCAGGTGCTGTGGGAACTGCCTTTGAGTTTAGTTCCACTGAGCTAAAAAAACCAGGAAGTAACAGGACCAGTTTTCTGATTGACAGCGAGAGGGAGTGTAACAAGGTTAATTTATAAAAGTGCCAATTTCAGTAGGACAAACTCTTTACACATAAAATATTACAGCAAGCTGGGGTGCTTTGGGTTTGTGTATTGTTTCTTTAAGTACATTTATACAACTCATTATTTATCTAGACTGTTTTGTAAATTTTGCAACATGCATATTTCTGTTTTCTTTCATTTTGTAGAACAGCTTCTCTGTTTTTTAAATTTATTTCAGATTTTTGATAGGTTGGTGAGTGATCCCTATTGAGGTGGCTGTCATCACTGTCCTACATTTGGGTTTTATATGTACGGTAAAACTATTTACATGCTTTGCACATTTTGTAGAGTTGTACAATTTTATTAACTTCTTTAAGGATAACAGAGAGAAGAAATGCTACTTTAATGCAGTGCACCAATAAATGGTCAGATGCGACACAGTGAGAGGAGTCAATCACTGAAAAAAAGATGATGATGATTTGCTATAATAGTCATTAATATTGTTTTGTAGAATGACTCAAGCTACTTTTCTCATAAATAGAATTTATAATATGATTAGGATTGAAGGACATTTAATGCTGACGTGAGTAACTGATAAAAGCAAGCTGTAAATCCCTATTCAGACTAGATTTAAAGGGACACTATAGTCACCAGAACAACCACAGCTTATTGTATTTGTTCTGGTTAGTAGAATCATTCCCTTCAGGCTTTTTGCAGTAAACATTGTCCTTATAGAGAAAATGCAGTGTTTACATTACAGCCAAGGGATACCTCCACTGGCCACTCTTCAGATGGCTACTAGAGGTGCTTCCTAGGGCAGTGCTACACAGTGGCATGGAGACACTGAACTTTCCTCATAGAGATGCATTGATTCAATGCATCTCTATGAGGAGCTGCTGATTGGCCAGGGCTGTGTTTGACTTGTGATGGCTCTGCCTCTGATCTGCCTCCTTGACGCCTCAGCCAATCCTATGGGGAAGCATTGCGATTGGCTCAGAGAATCACTTCTGATGATGTCAGCCCAACAGGCAGATCAGGGGCAGAGATAGTAGCTGCAGACTAGAATACAAGTAAGATTTTACTATATTTAGGTAGGCAACCGGGGATCAGGGGAGGCTAGATGATGGTTTTTAAAGGGACACTATAGACACCAAGACCACATCAGCTCATTCAAGTGGTCTGGTTGCACTGTCCAAGTTAGTTTAACCCTGCAATGGTAATTATTGCAGTTATAGAGAAACTTTTGGTCGCCTAACTGACCCTGGACGTCCTCATGCTCCAGTGTTAGCTAAAACCCATAGGTCTATCAGAGAGGACTAATGGTGTCAGAGATAATGGGTCTGCCTCTGCCACTGTACCTTTAAGGAGGACACATTTAATTATGGAAAATGGTTGGGTGACAACCCAAAACACCTACCTCATATATATCATGTCTCTGTCGTCTCACTTTTCAATCACTTTTCAATGATATGCCCACTGTGGCTACAGTTTGCCCTCTTTCCTGGCTCCCCACCATGGCCCTGGTGGGGAGCCAGGAAAGAGGGCAAACTGTAGCCACAGTAAGCATATAATTGAAAAGTGAGACGACAGAGACATGATATATACACCAAAACCACTCTATTAAGAAAAAGTTGTTTTGGTGCTTAGAGAGTCCATTTAATTGCTTTGATATTATAATTTTTTTTCCATAATTTGCTCACAGAATTTCAGCTCCATAAATTACTCTCTGGATTTGCTCCCTCCCTCCTACTTTTCTCTTTAATGACTAACTCTGCATTATATCAGTGTAATGTATGCTGTACGCCTGTTGTTTATATGTTCTAAACAAGTTCACAGTTATACAGCCACACCCGCTGTTTTTATATACTGAGCCTGCTGCGTTTACTTAACCTCTGATATACTGTTATTTTCTACAACTGGGGCAGAGATAAGAAATTTCTGTTTAACAACATATTTTATCATATTTCATCATGTCTCGCTTTTTTTACTTATTACAGTGAAATTCTGTACTCCGGAGTACAGTATTCTTTGTGGGAAAGTAAGATGCCCCAATGCCGGTGTATTAACTGCCCAGTGTACGTATAAATAAAGTTTTCTACATAAACAAAAGTACATGTCTTTGTGTCATGTGTACAAAGCATCAAGCGGTATATATCCATTTTAATATTTGCAGTAGAGCCATTATAGAACTGAATTGACACCACAAAATGTAACCCAAGATTTGATCAATTCCACTAAAATATTGGAGCGAAAACAAAGAGTTATTAACAGAGAGCAGGAGTAAGGCAAAGTTTAAAAGTGAAAACCTTTCAACTGTTTCAGATCTTGTGAGCAGTCCTAATTTAGTTATTAAAGCAGTTTATTGTTACATATCTGTTTACAAACATTGGTATTGTAAGCGGAACATACGTTGTACAGCAGTTTGCATGTATTGTCAATTGCATTCCTTTGACATGTGCAATTTGGAGCAGCGCTCTCTCCAACAATGTGCTCCATAATGTTCCTGCATTGACCCATCGGTTTCTGGTAAGCGTGTCTTTGCAAGGGTAAAATTAGTATTTGTAACTGTATCTGCCAAACAGTTATGCAGATCAATATAAACATTAACAGTAACATCTTTCATAACTGAGCTGTTTTCCAACATAGATTGAACTGTGTGAGTGCCGGCATCCTACTTGATACTTCATCTGTGGGTGGGAGTCACCTGGGACCCTCCCTTTTTCGTGTGGCTGGGGGTAGTGTAGTGTAGTTGCTGGTATGTCGTGGTGTACGTGCTGTCTATGTCTATTATTGTATATGGCAGGAGCAGGTGCGTGTTCCCCCCTCTGCGTGTGCATCTCATTTCATCAGTTGTTCTGCCGAGGGTCTATGTCCTCTGTCCTGTTGACCTGTCTCCCCGTCCCCCTGTTGTAATTTGAGCAGTGTCACTAGGACATTCTACTATGAGATTCGTGATCTTGTTAAAGTGTAACTCCCGTCTGTGGCATGTTTGCCCGTGAGCATGCGTGCCTTCACTGTTGTGGGTCCCTCCCCCATCCCAGGTTCCCCCAGCCCTACCCCCCAGCCCTGTCCCCCACTCAGCCCATTCCCCCTCCCCCCCCTCCCCATCTGCTTCAGAATTTGTACTGTCTAGTCAGGCCCCGTCACCCCCTTCGGTTCTGGCAATGTGCCCTCCGTGGTGAGTTGCATCTCGGTCAGTGTGGCGACTGAAGTGTTTTGTAGCCCTATTTGTACCTCTAAAGGGTGGGCTTCCCCAAAATGTTCCCCACAGGCCCCCCCCACCCCCCGGCGGGGGCGACTACCAGGAGGAGGCAAGAGGGAAAGGAAGAGGGAAAAATGGGGGGGGGGAGAGGAGAGGACACCAGGAAGGGGCAGAACAGAGGAGTGATTATGCGACCCGTGCCGCCCTGAGAGCACCCCCGAAGCCCCCCCACCAAGCCACCGCCCCCGCCCCATGCAGAGTCAAATGTTCGGTCTCTAATGCAGTCCGTTCCCCCCCACCCCCCAACCATGCCCTCCGAGAGCCATTTTGTCCAGTGGTACCATATCTGGTGGTATTGTTGGGTTTTGCCCGCTGTTGAGAGGATGAGCTCCTCAACCTCCCTTATGTCCTCCACTCTTCGTATACATTCTCTAGTGGTGGGGACCGTCTTCTGTCTCCAGTGACTGGGTATGAGACTGCGCACTGCATTGAGCAAGTGCGGCAACACCGTCTTCTTGTATTTTGTGGGTGGCAGTGAGGTGACGTGGAGGGGATAGGCTTCGGGAGTGAAGTCAATACTTGCGTCTGTTATTGTGGTGATAATTCCGTGTACCCTCTCCCAGAAGGGTTTGATGTTTTGGCAGCTCCACCATATGTGGAATTGCGTACCTAATTCCCTGTGCAGTCCTAATTTAGGACTCCTGTCCTGTTGGCCCATTTCCATATTATCCCAAAACAAAAAAAAGAGAATAGTCATAAAACGTACACACATTGTTTCGGTACTCAAAGCATCTTCTACAAACACGAGGCCGCAGTCTACCTAAAAGACCTCCCACTCCCTACTACACATGAACAATTCAGAAGAAAATTAAGTAGGAAGAGTTTACTAAATAACCTGCTGTAATAACCCAGATATAATTACTAATAAACCTTGTATATCCTAATAACCAGATCTGGGCATATTACTTATAAACAACCTGCAACAATTATAGTACAACACAACAAACCACAACACCCCACAATAAAAGAATGGCAAAACTCAATCAATAACAGTCAATAGAAACATAGATTGTGACGGCAGATGAGAACCATTCGGCCCATCTAGTCTGACCAATTTTCTAAATACTTTTACTAGTCACTGGCCTTATCTTATATCTAGGATCCCAATAGCAGTAGCAACAAATGGGATCAATATTCACACAGCAAATAGAGGACCTCACTTACAAATGTCCTCCTTCAACCATTGTTGGGTACTTTTATACCAGACTACAGTAAGTGCTGTGGTACCAACTTCTATCAACTTTCATTAAGTTCTAGAGTAGCAGCTCATTGAATTTCCTCTGTCTACAGTTATGTGTAAGAGATGGTTATGCAAAGAAGACCACTTCGATCTTCTGATCTGTGAGTTGTCTAAGGGCTACAATTTAATGCCCGACCCACATCCTTTCCTCTCTTTCTTCCTTCTGATGCTGTCAAAATATATCAACTTAATTTAACTGCATATAATAAATTCATGTGTATTAGCAACAATGCAAGTTCCCCTTCTGGTATTAGAAGATGCAGAAACGTTCAGCAGTGGAGCCTCATGGCCTTGAATGCTGACTCAAAATACCAAACCCCTCTGAACATCACTAAATACCTCCACCCTGTTCCCTTCCCAAATACCTGAAAGAGACTACTATTTAAATTTGGATAGGGCATAGGCCACATATGTATTGAGTAATTAATTTGACTGCATTGCCAGCAACAACACAACCATAAAAAAACAATTTGTCAACTGCCGCGTGAGAACCGATAGACAGATTCTCGTAACTTTCGTTTTCAACCAGAATCCGATTTAGTCTGTATTCGCCATCAGCTTCCGTGCAGACACAATTCCCTAAGCCAAAGTTGGCAAATTTTCCATATTTCTTAACAACCAACACACCCAAGAATACTGGGAAGGAAGGAAAATTGGCCAGCCTCACTCTTGCTTCTGCCGACTGTTAAATTCCACCTTTCTTTCACCTTTGATTCACCCGCCAAGTAAATTGCAACAAAGTATACATTTCTTAACGATGCCCAATCCCAATTATTTCTGTGTTTACAGTAGTCGGGCTCCTCCCTCCCAAGGTATAGAGGGGGTGCCATTTTGTTTGCATGATAGTTCCTATCACAAAGCTTACTAAGTGATTTTTCTCAATCATTTATCATTTTAATTACCCTTCATCCCAGTGCCTCTTTGTCTAGGAAGGCTTAAGTATCTAAAGTCAGTCATGTTAAAGATCCCTCTGGCTAGGGAACCGCTCTGTGCAGGTCTAGAGATAAAATTGTTTTTTGACCCTCCAAAAGAGGACAACTTCCCTTAGAATGCAAAAGGATAACAACTTACTCAAACATTTTAGTTTCTCTCCACAGGGCACATTAGCATATCTATATAAGGCTTACAATTGGTTATACATAGAGTTGGGGGTTGCGAATCACATTATCTCATCAACAAAATCCAGAACTGTACTAGAATTATAACTACATGCATCACATTGATAAACCAACCACAATTATTATAAAGATAGAGGCCAAATATCATTTATTGAACAAACCTTGCTTCACTAAATATTGTATATACTTTTATTTGAGTAGGTGCGTCATTGTTTTTTTTTTTTACTTTACTGTCATTTTTTTCTGGTTTGTGTTTAGATGTTGAAGAATTGCAAAAGACCTTTTTATGTATTTAACAAAATACTTATATAGGTGGAGCGCAAAATCAAATCCACATTTCCATGGAATCCTTCAACTCAGATGAATATAAAAAAGATAAAATGCATATAATAGTGAAGTACAGTTATGGTAAATTGCAAATATTTAATAATCGTTTCACTAGACATAAAACACTCCTAGCAATAAAAATAATAAATCAAAATCAATATTGTACAAAATACATAAATAAATTTACATGAATTAAATGAAATAGACAATAAGCCTCTTACAGGATAGAAATAGGTGAGTGTATGCAGTCCCAGCTGCTACTCACTAACGCTGTATAATTGCCTTAGTCCAGGCACAGGGTTGACAGGCAGCCGGCTTCTCTCGTCTCCTCCACGGATATCGTAGAGAAAGCGGGCCGCTGAAAGATCCTAGGTGCCGGTCTGGGGTTCTCTGAGCTTCCCGGGTGCTCCGCCCCTTTTGCGTC